TGTTGAGTGAGTGCCTCCTTAATAGAGTGGAGTGAGGGTGAAATAGTCTCATATTTAAAGAGTGATATGAGCTACCCGTTTACTTGTAAGATATCTCTTGTACATTTCAATTGTATAATACAAATGTTATTATTAGATGGAACCTTCGTGTTACTTGTGAGTGAGTGTACAATGCAAGAGTCTTATGAGCACATGATCCTGGAAAAGGCTGAGGTTCATGTTTTCCCCAACAGATCGATGGGAACGTGAAGAAGAATCAAAAATTAGCTGAAGGTGGGAAAGATAATAACGGAAACAGGGGCATACATACTAGAATAAGAAACGGGGCAATTTTGGAAACAACATAAAATAAGTCCTATTTTGGAGTTACAAACTTAGTCCTATTTAGATATATCAAGTATGTTTAATTTTGGTCCTATTTGGAACCAGTTCTAATCACTTATTACAACCTCCGTCTCGATAGACTTTGTTAAGGTTAAAAGTATGTGATAAATAAGAAAAGTAAAATTGTATGGTTAAGGTTTTTGCAAAGGAAAAAAAAAGCATAATCACAAATTAGTTGTTTTAATAGGAAAGTGTAAAGTTTGTTGGGATAACAAAAAAGAAGAAGTTGGCCTGCAATCCACTTGAGCAGGCCCCGATGCTGCATTTTACATTTTTTATGTGGGCTATATAGCAAAGTTAGAAGCTTTTCTAGGCAGATTGGCTATACTTCATAAATGAGTGTGTTTTATTCATTTATTTGTAAAAAGATTTTTTCTTTCTGCTGGGTACATAGCAAAAATCAAATCTCTTCCGGGAACATGTCTAAATTTCATGAATGAGAACTTTTATAAATTTAATTTTTCTTTGTGTTTTCATATAGCAAAATCATACGGGGTTTAGATTATTTTGAATGTGGGTGCATGATCTTAAAATGTCAAATTTGTCTTTCAAAGAACCATATAAGGGATTTTTTTTATAATTAAGTCCAACATTCATGTGGAAAGATGAAAACTATGAATGTGGAATATGCAAATCTCTTTGAGCATTATATATATTGCTGCAAAGCTGCTATTTGGTGTGGCCAGAATAGGTTACTTGTTGCATATAGTAACTAAATGCTTTTACTACTTGCGAATAGAATGTCTGTTCTAATTAGTTCATATTATAGTATAATGTGTGAACTTTTATACTATTGTACACTATCTAAATCATTTCACTTTTAGTAGTTCCTAAATTGGATTTTTTAATTCTGTATCTCAATCATTTCACTTTTACTAGTTCCTAATTTGGATTTTTATATTTTGTATCTCAATCATTTCACTTTTATTCTTGACTTGAAGCTTGGATTTTTTTATTAGATGATCAATAACAAATACACCTTTGGTTGAGGATATAAATAACAAAATGAATGCCCAAGAATCAGATTCTGGATTCCTCGGTCTTTTTTATGTAGACAAGTTCTTCTATTATTCCTATAGAGAGAGTGGTCAGCCTGAAGCGGGAATTGGTCAACAACAACATGCGTTTCAAAACCTGCTCTCAATTACAGGTGAATCCGGAGCTTACTATACCGAAGGGCGTTATAATGGCCAGCAGTTCCCCAGTGATGATGGTGTCCAGCCATGGCAGGTTACTGATGACTATCCAAAATTTTCCATTTTAACAATGACGTTTCACAAGAGTCTACTTGCTTTGGAACATCTTCCTCTAGCCACCCTGCTGAAGAAACACGTTCAGGTGGTGAAGAAACCAACCAGGCGTTGGGAATAAAATATGAATCAGAGTTTGATGTTGTTCCAGTGAGTATTTTTATGGCAAACTGGAATTGAGTTTTATATTGTGCTCCTTTAATGCAGCTCGTTCCTAGAATAAATACACATATACCTTAGGACGATGAAGCCACATCTCGTAAAGAAAGACTTCTAAATAGGTAATTGCTAGTCTATGGAAAGGTTTTCAATAAAGAGACATTAATGATGTTTCTTAGGCAAATATTATTTTGAACTTGTTTTTTCCTTATTATGTTTAGGTGTAATGACTTTTAAAGCATTAATGCAGAAACAACGACACTGTAATTTTTGTGCAAGTTAAGTGCGTGCTTAGTGTAACTACTGTGTGAGCTAATAACCTAAAACCAACCTAGAGATACTATAAATACCCAATTAGCAGTAATTGGACTGAAACATTCTTTGCTTTAAACTTTTTATCAATGTAAACATTATGCAAACTTCCTGAAAGCTTTTCATTTGGATAAAGTTCTTTCTACTTTTTCATGCATAATTCTTCCTTTGGACATCTTGAATCCTTTTCGTTTTTCATTAAGGTTGTTAGTGACATTATAACATTTGGACAAAGTTCATGTTACTTACTTTATCTTCCGCACTTTCACTATTTCTGTTTTTAGATTGCAACGTTGGGGCCTAGTTGAGTACATAGTTGAAGGGGATGGGAATTGTGAGGTTATCTCATTCATTGTTCCATAGTTTCAAATTTCTTTCCCTAACTGACTTTTAAGTAAAACCTATTTTATTTTGGTTTTATCTTCGAGTTCCATGCTCTATAAGATCCGTTTTATGAGACATCAAGTTGTTAATCAGGTGATTCTCAGTAGATATTATTTTTACGGATACTTAATATGGTTTTTCTTGAGCACATATTCATTGTGATCTTTTATAATTTTCAATTGCATCAGCTTATGAATCACCAGAGATGTATGATGCGTATGTACTAATGGCTTATGGTGATTATCTGAAGAGGATGATGGAGTACTACTCAGTTCTTCTCCCTTGATTTATTTTTCCTGTTTCTTTAGTTTCATACTGTTCTTATTTTAACTAAATAAGGTTTGCATTTATTAATTACTATTAACAAATTCAGGGATGGAGAGTGGGGTGATCATGTAACATTGCAGGCTGCTCATGTAACATTGCAGGCTGCTGCTGACTTGGTACTAATCTAGTTCTTCCTTACAAATAAGTTTATATTACATATAATAATATTTGGTAATAACATATATGTTGATGATACTTTTTACTTGTTGGACAGTATGGTGTGAAGATTGTTGTCATAAAATCATACAAAGAGACCTTTTTCATAGAGATCCTTTCAAGGACACAAAAGTCAAATAGAGGTAATTTCCTTTTGATTCTTCTAAATGTGGTACATTTCTAACTTTCTATATGAGATGATACAATCGAAGGGAAAACTATTATGGAAAATGCATTTATTACATGGAGAGATGTTTTTTGTATGTTACAAACGGGAAAGATCAGTAGAACAAATGAAAATAATGGCAGGTTGTGCAGTGCAAGTTAGGATTTGTGCAGAGCTTGTCTTCTACCTTTCCAGTAAGAGAACAACTTTCCAATAAGAGAATTGATTTGTTTCATCATCTCTCCTTCTATTGATCATATCTTCAAAGAGGAAAATGTGAGTGTGGCCTTAATAGATAGAGCTCATATTAACATTTTTCCAAAATATCATACTTCGTAAGAGTTTTGTATTAGTAAGACACTAATACTTCAATAATGAACACAATGTCACTTTTTTGTTGTTCCGGTGTATACAGTAATGTCCATTGAAAACTCTGTGCATATTGTGTGCGGATCATGTGCATACTTTGTGCAATACATTAAAATATATGTTTGACCTTATTTGAGCATCAGTGTAATGTTTCTTATGGTAATGTGACACTTTGAACTTTTTTTAACCCGGTAGGCAAACCACAAAAATCTGTGGGGTAAATGTCGAGGAACATTTACCAGATTTTATTAAAAATAAAAAGAGATACAAAAGGAAAGGGGGACTAGAACAAGACCTCTCGAAGGAAGGCATACCTTCCTAAAAATACAGAGAAAAATTCAAAAACAAAGAACAAGTAAAAGAAACTAATGGTGGGCTATACCTTACCCATTAGTAAACAAAATTAGAATCGAAAATATGGAAAACCAAAATAATCGGTATAGTAACATTTTTTGCCTGATTGGGCAAATCATCAATAAGCCTAGTAATAGCAAACTGTCCCAAATTGACATTTGGATCTGCTAAAGCATGGGCCGTCCAATTAGACTCTCTAACCGCATGTCCAAAAATGATTTTCCTTCGGATCGCCTGAGATTTGAAGTCCAGGAGCGATCTATCTCCATCTGTGTTGTCTGAAAGCTTGAGAAGCGTAAGGGTTTAATACGTTTCAACCTGAAAGTCAACAAATCCAAGCTCCATCGCGCTCCTCATCGCCACCACCAGAGCTAGCCACTCTGCCTCCTGACTGGAAGAAGCATTCACCCCGTTCTTTTTCTGAAAATAGCACCCCCAGCTGATCTACCAGCGAAGAACGAGGCATCAACATTTAGTTTATACTCTCTCTGAGGACGCTTCCAACGAACAATCGGAAACATCAGTCTCCCAAAAGAGAAGATATGCGCAAGCATTTCCTCCCTTATCAGATAAGTTTCAATTTTTCTCCTTTCATCTTAGAAAACTTAACTGACCAGAGTTGAGTATGGTGTTTAATTTGAGAAATCAAGTTTTCTGTCGTTGGGATGGTAGATGAACCCCACAAATGCGAAGAATACGCTTTCCAAATATACCAACATATAATCCCTGGTAAATTATGTTTAAAAAGATCACCTAAAGTCCTTGATCCAGCTTCCAACCACCAGTATATAATAATTTGCCTGACCGAAACCGGACCTCCTGGAATTGGAATCTGAAATACATTCATGACCTTTTATATCTCCATGCAGTCATATATTTGGGGTTTTGGGCGGAGGTGCACTATAATTTTATTTATCCTCATAAAGGAGGAAGTCAATTCTATGTGCTCTCCTGCAGGTGAGTGTACATAAAAATATTTTAATTAGTTTATATGGTCAAACTTTATACTACTAAGGAAGTAGTATTTCAAATTTTGTTAGAATGTACTCACTGATTGATTCATTAGTTCCTTCTCTGATCACAAGAAATGATTATTTTCGTTGCAAGTTCTCGTGTGGGAGACTTAAAGGTGAAGGAAATGAAGTGGTAGAATTTCTTAAAAAAGAAATAGAGACAAAATCATGTGTCTATTAACTTAACCTTTCCAAATAAAAACATTAATTGTTGCAGAAAAATAACATAGAGACATTTTTATTGATGACAATCACACATAACATAGGAAATTTTAAGCCAAAAATGAATATAGAAAAATAACTCTCCTCATCCATGCATGGTGCTGAAAGAACCCTTTTAGTTATGAACTAGCTAGTTCCACTTGGTCCAGAACCGTCACTATTGATTCGAACATATGAGAAGAGGCCATGCAAGCTTCCTCTATCCATTGGAGTGGCTAGGTCATGAGATTGAACTTGCATCAAGGGTTCCTTTAATGTTTCATAAGTTTGAGAAGAAAGTGTTTCCAATCTATGTTTCATATTCTCCAACTCCTGCAATTGTAGATTTGAAATGAGTGGTCTGCCTTTTTCAGATACAGAGTGAGCTTGACTTTCTTTAGTTAGATCATGAACAAGAGATTCCATGTCACTTATTTGGGGTGTAATGATTCTCATGTTGTCTTCATAATGTGCACGAATGATATCACCGGTCACACCTGCCTCTGGTGTAGCGTTTTCACCAAAGTATTTGTTAAGCACTGCGTCGACACTTGGGCTTCCAAAAGTATAAACCTTATCTGCAGGTGAAAATACCACCATAGCAATATCTACACCACACAAAGTAGACAACTCACTAGCTTTTTTGAATATTCCAGAACGACGTTTGGAAAATGTTACTTGACGGTTAATCTCATTCTCAATTATGGTGAGAGGGATCCTTTGGCGTCCCCTACTAACTCTCTTATTCTCATTATTGGTAGACATTCTCCAAAGCAATATGATATATTTGGTTGAAGTAAAGTATTAAGATAACTATGGTGAAGGTGTATGTAGTTATAGACAATATTATTTATAGATAACTATTCTCGTGATGCGACGTTTGTAATTTCATACGACTTGACTAATATGGTATCAAATTAACATTCCCTAATATTTAAATTATGGTTTTCATATTTCCAAAGTTCGCATTTTGAATATCTTACTTCAGTATGATCCAAAAATGCTAATAATATAATACATTCAGTACATCTTTAGACAATTTGTCATGGGAGAGTAAAACTAGTGCTTTTCATTTTATTAGAAGTTGTTAAATACATTTTTCAAGACAGATTAGATCTTTATTGATATTAACATTGTTCCAAGAAATTTTCAAAAAAAAAAATACTAATTAGTTCTATTAAATGTGAGAAAATTCTCACCATAGAAGAGAAACAAGACTAAAATGCAAAACAGGAACCGATGCTTAGAATTCTTTAAACAGGATTAATAATTTGTGATTGGGCAAAACACCCTTATATAATGTAATAGCCAAAATATTAGATTAGTTACCATTAATTTAAATGTAGTTTCTCGACTACATAATTTGAGTAGAATTTCTAAAGGCTATTGGAGATGTACTAACTTAATATCGGACGTACAAGAATAGATCATGCATATTTACTCATGACAATATAACCATAATGATATTCCAACGTCTACATTGTCAAAATAGTTAATCTAATATATTAATAAATCTAAATACTTCTATTTTGAAAATGTCTAGCGACATTGCTAATAATAGTGATAATATTAAGTGACTATGTTAAAATGTAATTACAATATCTAATAAATTGACAAGGATTTATTTATGTTCTCCAACCAATCATGATTTCTTCTCCATAAATGTAAATGAATATGAGCATAGTTGGAACATACCTACACAATAGTAATCAAAATCCAATTGGCGAAGTCGTAAAGTGGATTTATTTTGTACGGAATATTCAATTAATACGTAACCTAACATGCCATAAAAAACACCAAAGTGGAACCACTAGATCGCTACAAATACGATCTATAACTTCTATGTAAGTTATAATTGATTGCATGATATTTTAAACCTAATATATTATTTAGTTTTATCATGTCTAGCAACATTGTGAATAAGAGGCTCACTAGAGGTCGCCAAAGGATTCATCTCACAAAGGTTAAAAATGTACTCCAGAACACATAATAAAATAATTAATGTTTTCTAAACGCCATTCAGGTTTGGGGAAAGGTACAAATACCCTTCAAGTATATGTGAGGTGTACATATATCCCTGAACTTCTAAAAGGTGCAAAAATATTTCTCATGCTCCTATAATGGAGCAAATTTACGATTATTGATTTTAAATAAAAAACTTGATTTTATAAAACACCATACATAAATTATGAATTTTAAAAACGTAATTCAAAAAAAAATCTACTTGTGTCCAACTCTCCATTCTGTTATTTTTATATCACAACTTCATATAGTTAGTATAAAATAATGTTTCGAAACCTTACTATACATTTATGATTCTTTCAGAAAAAAGTTAACATATATGTTGCAATGTAAAAAAATCAATTTTTTGTTTTATTTGCACAATAAAATTACAAAACAAATAGTCCAAGATCACAAAATAATGAATTTAATTTTATTATATTTAAACAAAGCCAAAGAGTGTTATTTCAAAAAATGTAACAATGTGTTTGAAATTTTGGAACAAGACTAAAATTGATAATTTTGAATTTGAAGTTTTTCAATTACAAGGGAAAAACAATAATTTTCAATTTAAAATTAAAGAGTTGATATTTTGACATTAAAATAAATATTTATTTTTAACACTTTAATTTTTTAAATTTTCAATTTCAAAATTTAAATTTATAATTTTTATATATTTTTTTGAAATTTATTTTATTTATTTAAATTTAATAAGGGTAAATTTGCTATTTTTTAGAAACATTGGGGGTATTTTTACACCTTTTAGAAGTTTACTATATATTTGCACCTCCACACATACTTCATGGGTATATTTGCATCTCTTCCCTTCGGGTTTTTAAGAAGGTCTAGTGAATTGTGTGCTTTGTGTAGGGCAGAGATTGTAGGTATATTTTAATTTGCAAATAAATCTTATAGATTTTGGACCCCAAATCTAGACATTGTGCTCGATAAATACTTTGGTGAAACCAATGCATCACATTGCTATTACATTTCAGCCTATCATGTACTACTTCCGTCCCACTAAGATTGAGACAACAGAAGGTGTCACGATTACTAAGAAAAGTGGGTTTGTGTGGTTGATATTAAATTGATAAAGTAAGAATAAAGTAAAAATTATTTAGAGCCACACAAATTTTACCAAATTTGGTATGTGACAATCTTAGTGTGATTTCCCGAAAAGGTAAAGTGGGACAATCTTAGCGGGACGGAGAGAGTATCACCTAAAAGTATTACAATATCTCTGATAAGTGCTACATTTGTGAAATTTGCAACATATACACTACCATTATTATCATTTTATAATTATATACTACATTTGTTCCAAAGTGTTTTGTGAAAACAACATTTTTTGTCAACCTATAATAAAGTACACCCCCCCCCCATATTGATAATTAATTCAATTTTAATAATAGAAATTTATGTATTCAGAGATTATATTAACATCTCTATAAAGTTGCGGGATTCAAATTAAAATTTAATTAAGAATTCATATTCGAATTAAGTGAATACAATGAATTTGTTTTACCTAAAAAAGTCAATTTTGCAACTCAATTAGAGATGGAATTAGTACTACATATTGCTTTTGAAAAACACTTGATTATTTAGTGGTACTAGAATCATCTTCCTTGTTTACTTTTTATTTAGTGATCTTAAAATCACTACCATAATTATGAAAAATACAATAAAAAAACTAACTTTTTCACAATATCAATGCCTATACCAAATTATTTTTTATAACTGTTTTACACATATGACACACATGACACATGTATAACACAAGTTTCTATCTGCTTATTTATAGAATATATGCACTTCCTAATTAAAAATGATTTGGTATAAGTTCATAACATGTTATTATTGGTCATGAACCATTATTAACGAACGAATTATAAAATTAAGCTTTTATTAAAATGATGGATTAATGAGATTGTTTTTTTTTTTTTGGTTTTCTTTTGTTATGTATTAACTTGAAACCATGGTTTTTTGGACTATGAAAAAGGGGTTTAGAAAATTGACGGCACTATAGTCGTTGTGTGCCTCAAAATAAATACAATACTCGCACTAATACCGTAGTATACCATAGTAAGGTTTGTATATGCAGAGAGAGGAATATTTTTCTTTTAATAAAATAGTAACAAGGGGTTGTTTTTAGGTTTATTTGATTTAAATTAATTAAATACAAAGATAAACAACTTATATGAGTTTAATTAATAGAGATGGAGACTTGATTTTGCTTATATCTGCTTAATGAAATGTTTGTCGATCCTGGTTATATATTTAAGGCTAAAAGGTCAAATATGTACATGAACTAACTTAAAGTGTTCAATTAGCCCCTTATATAGGAGGTTCTGCCCGGCCGTCGTCAATTGGGGAAGGTCCAGGTGGAATTCTTTGATTAAATATTTTGAGCATCTTCTTCACTAAGTCTAGTTTACGCATACCAAATTTCATCTAAAAATTCAACCGGGAAGGCAGCCAAATGATTTTTTGAAGATAACTGCGCAGTTAAACAGCGCAGTACATTTCAGAAAATCATTTGACTGCCTTCCCGATTTAAGTTTTAGCTGAAATTTGATATGGGTAAACTAGACTTAATGAAGAAGCTCAAATTTTTTTATCAAACCAGTTTACCGGGAACCGCCCCAATTGGCGACGGTCGGGCGGAACCTCCTATATAAGGGGCTAATTGAACACTTTAAGTTAGTTCATGTACCTATATGACCCTTTAGCCTTATATTTAACTATCTTCCTCTCGAATACTCAACCGAGAAGTATTTCCAATTCATCAAGGGTAGTCATTAATAACGAGACTCGCTCATTAATAAAACTTACTATCGAATCAATATAGAACATGCGCCGTATATCAATCAGTGAGTACATTAAAAAAATTGAAATACTACTTCCTTATAAGTATAAAATTTGACATTGTAAACTAAACAAGTGTTTCTATGTACACTCTCACCTGCAGGAGAGCAGCTACAATTGACTAGCTACCGTAGGAGAGCAGCTAGAATTGACTTCCTCAAAAGTACAAGTCCCTTTATCAGAGTGGTCGATACCTCCTTCATGAGGAATAATATAATTATATTATAGTGCACCTCCGCCCAAAAACTCAAATATTTGACTGCATGGAGAGATAAAAGGTCAAAGTGTCACATTACTATAAGAAAAATTACACTGATGCTCAAATTGGGATAAGAAATCTTTAAATCTATTACACAAAATATGCACATGATCCACACACATTATGCACACTGTATTCACAGAGTTTTTACAGGACATTACTATATACACCGCAATAACAAAAAGTGACACTATGTTCATCATTGAAGTATTAGTGTCTTACTAATACAAAACTTGTTAGAAATATCTTATAGTGTCCAATCTAATTAAATATCTTTGTATTTGTGTAGTTATTAATTAAATGTGTAATATGAGCCACAAATGTGTATCAGCCTGTTACCTTCTTTGTAATCCATAAGTTAGCCAACTTCTCCTATAAAAGGAGACTAACTTATGGAAACCCTAACAAGAGGCTTTAGAGAATAGAGGTGCAGAGATAGAGAGATTTGGTTTTCCGCTGCTCTTTCTTTTGAGGGAGAGCAACGACACTCTACACGGTATACCAGATTCGTTTGTTCATCTCATATCTTTCTATTTGCTTCTTCTTCACTGCTAATGATTGTTTGATTGTTAGAAACTGGGTTTATCAAATTGTATCAAAGCCGAGGCGTAAAAAAGGTTGACTGCATCTGCGAATTTTCGGACCTGCCGTTTGAAAGACTCTGTTTTTCTGAAGTTATTCTTATTCTCGAGATTAGCCTTTGTAATCCTGTTTTTGGTCGAAACATTGTAAAAGTTATACTGTTAGAATCGCGTTTTCGAAACGATTCAGCAGTATATCTTCTTTTTCGACATCTGCAAGTTTTTTTTGAAGATCTCGAATCTCACATCTCGAGATCATGCTTTCTGCACGTGTTTCTCAGGATTTCGCATCGAATTTGATACAGGAGGAATCTCGAGATCAAGGGTTTTCCAAAACTGTTTTTGTTTTTGAAAAATTCGATTTTTTCAATTTTCAAGATTTCGAAATTTTGCAAGATTTCAATATCTTGAAAGATCTCGAGATTCTGGTTTTTAAATGACCGGAAAGATTTCGATGTTTTGAAGATTTCGACATTTTAAGAATTTATTGATGTTTTAAATCTTTCAAAGTTTGGAGTTTCTTGAAACTCAGAATTGTTCGAAGCTTAATATTTTTTTGCAGTTCATCGAAACTTTACATTATAGAATTTTTGGATGAATCTCTGCTTATCAAAGTTTTTAAAATTTTTCGATGTTCTGATGTTTTTCGAATGGCAAGTTCTCGATATTCTGAGGTTTTCGAAACTCCAAAGTTTTCGATCTTCCAAACATTTTGAAATTCTGAAGATTTCGAAGTCTCGAGGTTTTCTTTTGCAGGTGGATTTCGACGTTCTTCTAAGGGTTAAACTCGAGATTGAAATCTCGAAGTTTAAACCTCGAGATTGTAATCTCAAGATTTAAACCTCGAGATTGGAATCTCGAAGTTTAAACCTCGAGATTATAATCATGAAATTTAAACCTCGAGACTGTAATCTCGAGATTTAAACCTCGAGATTGTGATCTCGAGATTTAAACCTCGAGATTGTGATCTCGAAGTTTAAACCTCAAGATTGTGATCTCGAAGTTTAAACCTCGAGATTGTGATCTCGAAGTTTAAACCTCGAGATTGTGATCTCGAAGTTTAAACCTCGAGATTGTGATCTCGAAGTTTAAACCTCGAGATTGTGATCTCGAAGTTTAAACCTCGAGATTGTAATCTCGAGATTTAAACCTCGAGATTGTGATCTCGAGATTTCAACCTCGAGATTGTGATCTCGAAGTTTAAACCTCGAGATTGTGATCTCAAAGTTTTAACCTCGAGATTCTAATCTTGATGTTTAAACCTCGAGATTCGGATTTCGAGGTTTGACCTTAGAATTTTCTTTAAAATTCACCTGATCTCGATATTCTTGATCGAGAACCTCAACTTCAAAGAATTTCCTTAAAATCTCAAAATTCAAAATTTTTTGTGTGTCTACACTGTTTTGGCCATAACTTTTGACTCGGTGATCCGATTTATGCGAACTTTTTTTTTGTTCGAAAGCTAACGAAAAGATCTACATTTCTTCTCGAGGTTTACCCCAGAACCCACTTTCACGCGCTCTCATGTGCGGTTCTTGAGGGATAAAACATTAGTTTTCCGACAAACTTTGTAAATCACCGATGTCAAAAGGTCATTTTAGGCGAATCTGATCAAAAAATTTCAAAGTCAAACCAAAGGTCAAATAGGGTCTAAGCTACAGCATAGAGGTCCGGAAATCGTAGAAAATTCAATCAACCTCACGTCAACTGTCATCTTACAACAATCAACAATCAACTACTGAAGCCTCCCCTAACTCATCAACATTGTGTGATCATCAATAGGCTGAAATTCTGAATAATGAGCTTAGGGAAACCGTCATGTGTGGTACTTGTTCAGATTTCTCCACACACATGGCGGGTATGGTGATGTGAGTTTTCTCGCACTTAAAAAGATTGTAATATAGCAGTGAAAGTACGAGTATCGTCTCCACAGGGACGGTAAAAGGGAATTAAGAATTAACTAAAAATCAGCGATAAAGAATAAATAAAATAAATGCGGTCGTGCGAGATTTGGTTGCTTGAGAAAACTAAAATTGCAAATAAACGATTAAAAGTAAATGATTGGGTTCTTCTTAATTAACAACGAAGGGAACAGGGATTGATTCCGGGGTAATCAGATTTCTGGCAGATCAGGCTTAATTACATGAATTTAATTTAATTGAGCCTAGCTAATCAATACTAAGTTCTTACCGCTCTCGCGGCGTAGAGTACAATAATTTAGGGGACCAGGCTGATCTCTCATGCGACAGGATCCTAAATTATTGCCAAGACGAACGAGCTTACGGCCCCTTAATCGCTACTAATCTCTTAGCGAACGATTAAGTGTGTGTGAATGTGTCCTAGAACAAATTAGATCTCTCTTAATTTATTCTATAAGCAATTGTAATTCTAGTGGCCATTCTAGGTTACAAAAGATATCAATTAAATTATTCAAACACAAATTAAACGACATTCATGTAATTTACACCATCAAGAACCTAACCATACATCATGATTAACCCCTTCATCAACCCCAAATCCCTAATTAAACTACTCACAATTCATAATTGAAGAATCAACAGAATTGGGAAGAATAGAATAAATTGTCATTAATTAAAAAGATGAACTTACAAATAATCCCAGGATCTTGGAAGAAAATAGCATAAAAACTGTGTTAAATTCGTCCCTAGGCCTCTCCGTAATGTTCGCCACACCAAAAAAGGGTTAGAGAGGCCTTATTTATAGAAAAGAGGAGAAAAATCAGAATTCTGGTCGAAGTGGGAAATTTCCACGCGTAACTCGGGGCTACGCACGATCGTGCGTACCTGACTACGCACGATCGTGCGTAGCAGGCAGAGAATTCTTCGTGATTTCGCATCCGACGCACGATCGTGCGTACCAGACGCACGACCGTGCGTCCACTTTTTTTTCTTCTATTTCTTGTTTTCTTGCCCCAACGCTCCCGTATGCAACAGGGGTTAATCCAGATGCTCTTACTTCATCAAAACTTCATCCAAATCTTTCAAATCTTTCATGATTGCTATCTAGCTCCTCCCGATTGTCTCTCAAACGCCGATTGCCGGACTCTCACTTCTCCAATTTGACTCCAAATGCAACAAAACTCGACTCAATGCCCGGTAATCACAACTTGAGCTAAAATTTGAGACTTACAACACCTTAAAGCTAGGAAAACCATCAAAATCCAACCTGAACACGCATCAAATGCGTGTCTAAATACGGACTTGTCATATGACGAGCAACGAGCAATCAATCCTTGCACATTGAACACCAAGAGGGAGATTGTTAGGAATATTTTATGGTGTCCAATCTAATTAAATATCTTTGTATTTGTGTAGTTATTAATTAAATGTGTAATACGGGCCACAAATGTGTATCAGCCCGTTAGCTTCTTTGTAATCCATAAGTTAGCCAGTTTCTCCTATAAAAGGAGGCTAACTTATGGAAACCCTAACGAGAGGCTTTAGAGAATAGAGGTGCAGAGATAGAGAGATTAGGTTTTCCGCTGCTCTCTCTCTCGAGGGAGAGCAGCGGCACTCTATACGGTATACCAGATTCGTTTGTTCATCTCGTATCTTTCTATCTGCTTCTTTTTCACTCCTAATGATTGTTTGATTGATAGAAATTGGATTTTTCAAAACTCTTATGATATTTTGGAAAAATGTTGTTAAGAGATCTCCCTATTAAGGCCACAGTCAAATTTTCCTCTTTGAAGATATGATCAATAGGAGCAGAGATGATGAAACAAATCACTTCTCTTACTGGAAATTCGTTCTTATGGAAAGGTAGAAGTCAAGCAAAGCACAAAATCCTATCTTGCAATGCACAATCTGCCATTATTTTCATTTGTTCTATTGATCTTTCCAGTTAGTTAAAATAGAAAGATTTCTCTCCATGTAATAAATATATTTTCCATAATAAATTTCTCTTCAATTGTATCAAATGATATAGAAAGTTAGAAATGTACCACATTTAGAAGAATCAAAAGGAATTACCTCTATTTGACTTTGTGTCCTTGGTAGAATCTCGATGAAACATGTCTCATTGTATGATCAAACAGGTCTCTTTGTATGATGTTATGACAACAATCTTCCCACCATACTATCCAACAAGTTAAAAGTGTCACCAACATATGTCATTACCAAATATTATTATATGTAATATAAACTTAGTTTTAAAGAAGAACTAGATTAGTACGAAAAAGACTAGATTAGTACTAAGTCAGCAGCAGCCTGCAATCTTATATGATCACCCCACTCACAAATTTAGAAAGTGGGAATAAAGTGGAAATGTATGGTTGTAGTTGTGTAAGAAAAAGGTGAATAAATGTGAACCACATATTTTTTCCAAAAGTGGAAGTTGGAAGAATTAATTGGGACGGCCCAAAAAGGAAAGTTGGAAGAAATGACCGGGACGGAGGGAGTAGTAATTAATAAATGCATACCTTATTTAGTTAAAATAGGAATAGTATGAAACTAAAGACACATGAAAAATAAATCAAGGGAGAAGAACTTAGTAGTACTCCATCATCCTCTTCAGATAATCACCGTATGCCATTGGTACATACGCAACATACATCTTTGGGTGATTCATAAGCTGATTGGAATTGAAAATTATAAAAGATTACAATGAATAGGTGCTCAAGAAAATTCATATTAAGTATCCGTAAAAATAAGATATACTTAGAATCATCTGATTAACAACTTGTTGTCTCACAAAACTGTGATGTTCGGGCATCCGATAAAACTGATCTGATAGAGCACGGAACTAGAAGATAAAACCAAAATAAAATAGGTTTAACTTAAAAGTCAATAAGGGAAAAAACTTTGCATCTAAATGGTGGAATGAAGGAGATAACCTGACAGTTCCGATCCCCTTCAACTATGTTCTCAACCAAGCCACAATGTTGCAATCTAAAAATAGAAATAGTGAAAGTGCAGAAGATAAAGTAAGTAACAAGAACTTTGTCCAAATGTTATAAAGTCACTAACAACCTTAATGAAAAAAGAAAAGGATTCAAGATGTCCAGAGGAAGAATTATGCAAATATCATGAAAAAGTATATAGAACTTTTTCCAAATGAATACTTTAAAGGAAATGTGCATTATTTTTACTTTGATAAACTTTCAGAAGGAACAAATGTTTCAGTCCAATTACTGCTCACTAGTCTTTCACCCGTGCGTTGCACGGGATAAAAAATTCCCAAATTACCCATGAAGATGTCTAGTTCCCCATATCAACTCTATTAATCTCAAGTCAATATTCTCGACTTTGTGCAAGTATGATACGCACCGTCAACAAATTTATTATTTATATTCAAATGTGTAATCAAGATACAAACCCAAAAAATGAACATGAACATGTATAAAAAGTGAGTAAAAATTAGTGTTCTGGTGTCCCATCCCCACAAATCTTGTAATCGGAATGTATATCTGTTAAAGTTTATATCCATCTTACCATTGTTTCATTGTTTATTATGTTGTAGAAACTTATAGCCTAAGAGAATAAAAAACTAAAATCTCTCTCATCTACGTGATGGTGTATTTTTAAAAACTTATCCCAAGAACAGGAAAGTTGCATATTTAAAATGACATTGTTTTGCTTTCATTTTTATGTTTTAAAATCACAGCCAAGTAAGAGATAATAAAACTAAACAAACATAACAGAATATTCCTAAAATTACATTTGTGTTAAAAAACTTAAGTAAAAGGATAAAATATTTTTAGAAAATGCGCTTTTCCTTTTTGTCTTGCAGATCATTTAAACAAAAATGTAGCATGAAGCATCTTCCATAAATTCCATGGGTAGGGAGAGCTAATATGTGAAGTAACGTCCAATAGGTGGGTGAGATTCGAATTATGACCATGTAGGAAAAAGGCATAATACCATACCTTTGGGGTGTAATTCGATAACATTGATGTTCTTAGGTAGTAGGGAGTACTATTTAGTAACTCGTGTAGCAGCATAGGGAAAAGCGGAGGGAGAAGAAGTAAAATCATGAGACTGATAATTAGAGCACTTCAATTTATCTTAAAAACTTCTATTATCATAGGAGCCTAAATGAACACCATATATAGATCAATTTTCATTCATTTCAGTACTCTTTTTACCTGAAAATAGCAGACTTAAAATAGTGAGGAAGAGTATGTATCATATTTTGATAGGTTAGATCTCTAACTTCAAGCAACTCTTTTAACTCATCATATATCATTCAATTTTGCACAAAACTGAACTTCACTTTTATCCCAAGAACAGGATAATTGCTTCTTAATAGATATGAGAAGAACCTGAGATGGGCATCTGTGATGCTGCCTGCAGGGGCATGTTGTTTTATTTGTTGGCAAGGAAAAAATTTAGTTCTTTCTTTTAAAGGCAAAGTGGGCCACACCAAGAAGTGTGATAGGTTGTGAAATCATAAAGTAAATTGAGATATAGATGTACTTATGTGGTAAACAATTAAACATTACTGTTCAAAGTAGTATAAAAAAATAAAGTGCGCATAACAAAATCGATTAAGGTCACAGAAAAGTAACAAAAGAGAAACATGATGACTTTACAGTTAGATCTCCCTATAAACAAAAGAGAAACCTGGTGACTTTGCAGGTAGACCCCTTGCACATGTAAAGCATAATTCATTAAGGCTTATAAAAAATTATGAGGAATACTTTTCATCATACCCTTCAAAGACAATAAAGCCAAAACTCTTACTTCTTTAATCATAGGTATTACCTAACTTCTTTAATATCAGTGTCTCAAAGCATGCATATACATCTGCATATTATGAAGTTCAGATATGAATATATTTCTTCTGAAAACCATTTTTAAAACTCTACTCTAACTTGTCTCTAGTTTTCAAATAAATAAATAATTAAATAAAGCACTTATGTAAAAAGAACTCATACCATAAGTTATCTAGAATAGCTTTTAAATGTTAGTAAAGTAAAAATACTTAGTCTCACGCAACTAAGTAATTATATAATCCATATTAGGAAGGATATACGACTAATTGGTATAATTTGGGAATAGCAATGGAAATAATAATAGAAAGAAATACTGTATAATGGGAATATACGACTAATTTATATGCAGCGCATAAAATGAAATACTGTATTTATCCAAAAGCATTTCTAATCGGTAATATGCAGATTAATAGAAAGAAATCGATAGAGCTCTTCTAATTGAGAGTCCAGGTTCAGGGAATTGCTGGAAAATTAAAGAAGAGATAAAGAAGACTTCAGAGCTCCTACGCGATAGTCTATCGGAATAATCGAAAGCCTAGAAGAGTTTACAAAAATTCCTCCGCTCTTTGAGCGGGAAAAAGACTTAAGTCACTTAAAAGGAAAGCATTTCTTAATTAATTCTAATGGTCTCTAGATTACTGTTATTGATTACCTGGGCCATATATAGAGGGTATCAGTGCTGGGAATTTATTTCAAAAACCAAAACTGAATAAGAGAAGAAAGATTACTAAGAGGAATAAAACTTTAAACCAACTAATAAGAAGAAACCAATCTGACTTTAGAATCTCCTAAGTTATACATTAGAAAAAACGAAATTCAGTTACATAAGAGCAATTATGGACTTGAGTATGTGCTGAATGGCGAAAGACAATTCTTAATTATGCTTTGTCTTTTACTCCTCTAAAATGATGAAGATCAATCAATCATTTTTAGTCCAGATAATGTGTATAAAAACTGTTATATTACCTAGAATATAAGCCAAAAGGTTCAGCTTGACTCAACATTAAACTGAATGCATTACATCTCCTTGAAAATCCTTGAATTTGCTTCAAGTAAAAAGTAATAAACAGTTGCCATCCCGAGTTGTAGATCTAAGAAAAGCTGTCATTATTTTGAGCTAAAACCTGAAAGACATCTTGGTGATTATACATTCATACATAAGGTGCTCTAGTATATAAATTAAAATAACATCATTTGCCACAAAAGTGCAGGAATGTGGCAGCTGCAACTCGAATATCGCCTATAAATTTTTAGACCTTTGCGCTCTATGAACATTGAACGCACAAAGAAAGACTCACATCTTTGTCTGATAAAAAGGTCCATAACAACAAACCTGGTTTTAGCTTCACACATCCATTCTTCACAATAAAAAAATAGGATTCTAAAACAAAACTAATCAAATCAAGCAAAGAAAGAAGGAATCACTGATTATGTTTAAAGATGATGAATATGAATATTGAATAAGAATTTAAAAAGACCTTAATTTTGCTTGATTGAATTTGTAGCGGAAGATCGTTACGTGTTTGAGACTATTTGAAATCGAATAGAAAACCTGCTCAATATATAATCAATCATAAAAATTTAAATTCGAATAAAAACGCAAAGACGAATTCATTGACCTTGAAGAGGACAAATGCAGAAACCCGTTGAAATCTAAAGGAAGAGCAACCATCTTATTCTCCATTGCCATAACTTTTCTTCTTAAAATCAAGAACAGAAAGGAAGAAGCCATTATACTCTCTCAAACACAAATTTGAAGAGGCATATCAACAAAGCAGGACTGTTAAGAGTATAGCATTATTGTTACACCAGAACCACTTACGTATGTACTAAAAAAATAAATAAAAAATGAAATAAGAGAATGTTGAACAATGGGATACCTGAAAGCTAAATGACATTCACATTGTCTTTTGGAATAAGTAGAATGCTGGAAAATGTTAGCATTTAATTTGACAAAAAATGTGTTTGAAAAAAACTGTATGATCACATCCCAGGTTTGTAAGTACTTAGTAGTCACTGATTCTATGTTCATCAGGCCTATATTAAGTCATCAAGCTATAATTTTTTCATTTAATTTGATAATTCCATCTGAGTTTGTGATATGGATTTTTCTTTCTTTCTTGTACAAATGATAGCGCTAATCATTTTAAAATTTGAGTTTCTTTCAATGCGGGCATATTTGGATGAAAGCAAAGAAGACTTAGGTCCTAAAACAGGTCAACATCTTTCTCTTATACAACTGAGCAAATGCCCCTGGACTTTTCTTTCTTATACAAACGATAGAGTTAATCATTTTGAAATTTTATTTTCTTTAAGTGCAGGCATATTTGGACGATATCAACGAAGATTTAGGTATAAAACAGGTCAACATCTTTATCTAGTCCTTCTTGACATTTTTAATTTAGTGTTTTGAAGTATGGTTTTACTCACTATTTTTAAAAGAGGTGAATGAATAGTTTTAAGAAGTTATGAAAGTAACTAGTAACAAAAAGTGTAAACTAATGTGTTGTTTGTCTATTTTTGTATTTTGGACAAGACTGATCTTTATTCACAAACAAACACACAAAATAAAAATAAAAAGAAAATAAAATCACACAAACAAGCAAGGAAAAAGAAAACAAATATTCACACAAGATATGAGGGTTGGTGTGGATCACCACTTTGGCATCATTTGTCGGTGTGGCAGCTGCTTCTACCCATTTAGAAACATAATCAACAGCTACATGGATGAACTCTTTCCCATTTGATTTTGGAAATGACCCCATAAAATCGAGCCCCCACACATCGAACAATTCGACTTCAAGCATGTCATGTTGAGACATTTCATTCTTTCTTCCAATATTGCCGGTATGTTGGCAACGATCACAGTTGTTCACAAATTTGCTTGCATCTTTGAAAATAGTGGGCCAAAAGAAACCTGATTGTAAAATCTTTGCAGCAGTACAAGAGCTTCCATGATGTCCCCCATATGCTGAGGAATGACAATGATGCAAGACATTTGAAACTTCATCTTCGGGCAAACACCGTCGAATGACTCCATCGACACACCTTTTTTTTTGTCGGCACACCTTCTATAGAGAAAAGGTTATGCCCAATGATAGTAGTGAGAGTCATATTTTAACTTCTTCTTTTAAGCGTGTGTAGCACCATGTGGAATTACCCCATGAGAAAGGTAATTTGCAATATCGGTAAACCATGGATCGAAATTTTGAGCAGCCATAAGTTAATCCCCAATGAAATAATCATTGATTGGAATCTTGGTATCACAAGGAATCTCAAGTTGAGATAAATGATCGGCAACAACATTTTCAGATCCTTTTCTATCATAGATTTCCATGTCAAACTCTTGTAGTAACAAGATCCACCGCAACAACCTCGGTTTTGCATCTTTTTTGTTGATGAGGTATTTGATAGCCGCATGGTCGGTATAGACAATAATCTTGCTATCAATAAGGTAAGATCGGAATTTTTCAATGGCAAAAATTATGGCAAGGAACTCTTTTTCAGTTGTGGCATAATTTGATTGGGCATCATCAAGAGTATTACTTGCATAATAAATGGCATATACTTCTTTGCCTTTGCATTGGCCCAGAATGGCTCCCACGGCATAATCGCTCGCATCACACATGAGTTCAAAAGGAAGACTCCAATCTGGTGGCCTAATAATTGGTGCAGTAGTTAAGGCTGACTTGAGTTTTGAAAATGCGGTGCAACAAGATTCATCAAAATTATACTCCACATCTTTTGAGAGAAGATTGGTTAAAGGATTTGATATTTTTGAAAAATCCTTGATAAACCGTCGATAAAATCTCACATGGCCAAGAAAACTAAAAATCCCCTTGATGGAAGAAGGGGGTGGCAATTTCTCAATGAGTTCTATCTTTGCTGGGTCTACTTCAATGCCCTTTTCAGAAATTTTGTGCCCAAGCACAATGCCTTCGGTTGCCATGAAATGACATTTTTCCCAGTTGAGGACAAGATTTGCTTCTTCACATTTGCTCAGCACTTTATCAAGATTTTCAAGGCAATCCTCAAAAGGAATCCCGTAAACCGAGAAGTCATCCATAAAAAATTCCATAATTTCCTCGACAAGATCCGAGAAAATAGTTAGCATACATCGTTGAAAGGTTCCTAGTGCATTACATAATCCAAATGGCATTCTGCGATATGCAAATGTACCATAAGGACATGTAAATGTCGTCATTTCTTGATCGTCCGGATGAATTGGGATTTGGAAGAATCCAAAGAATCCGTCAAGAAAACAGAAATATTTGTGCTTAACCATCATCTCGAGCAATTGATCAATGAAATGAAGTGGAAAATGATCTTTCTGAGTTGCTTTGTTGAGCTTGCGGTAATCAATGCACATCCGCCATCCAGTCACTATTCGTGTAGGAAACAGATTGTTTTAGTCATTATTTACAATAGTAATTCCTCCTTTCTTTGGTAACACATGTATAAGACTTACACATTTACTGTCCGAAATGGGAAAAATGATACCCGAACTCAACAGTTTAAGAATTTCTTTTTTAACAACATCTTTCATGTTCGGGTTGAGGCGTCCTTAGTGCTCAATGCTCGGCTTGTGATCATCCTCCAAGTAAATGTGGTGCATGCAGTAAGATGCCTTTATGCCAACAATATCATCAATGGTGTAGCCAATAACTCTTTGATGGCTTCGTAAGACTTGCAATATTCTTTCCACTTGTTGAAGATCCAAATCAGCATTCACAATGACAGGATATGTGGAATTCGGGCAAAGAAAAGCATATTTTAAAGTAGATGGAAGTGGTTTGAGTTCTACTTCAGGTGCTTTTCCTTTGACATTCAAGGATTGATCTTCAAGATTAAGCACTTCAAATTTAAGTGCTTTAGACATCGGCAAAGATATGCTTTAGGCATCGGTAAAGATATGCTTTGCAACATTTCGAGACATAAATTCACCATTTCATTGGCTTGCTCATCTGCAATAGATTCTCGTATAGTGTACTCCATGAGATCTTTAGAAAGCCAATAAGACTCATCAAATGTCTTTATGATACAAGAGTTTATAACATCAGCATAGTAACCATCAAGGACACAAGGTGTATCCTTACTCAGCTCTTGTACATTGAATTCGATCTTATCATCCCCAATATCACGGATAAGGGTACCCGTTTTTACGTTGATAATTGCTCCTGCCGTGGCTAGAAAAGGTCTCCCGAGAATAACAGGAACTCAGGCATCTTACTCCATATCCAAGACAACAAAGTCTCCCGGGATATAATACTTTTCAATTTTCACAGGAACATCTTCAAGAATGCCGATAGGATATTTGACAGATCGATCGGCCAATTGTAACGCCATTGTTGTTGGTTTGGGATCCTCCATGTGTAGCTTTTGACATAGTGAATAGGGAATTAAGCTAACACTTGCACCAAGATCACAAAGAGCTTTGTTAACTTTAGATCCACCAATGATACATGGAATTGAGAAGCTTCCAGGATCACGTAACTTGGGTGTAATTTTGTTTTGGATTATGGCACTACATTCTTGGCTCATTGCGACAGTGGCTGGATTCTCCTTCTTCTTTGTGAGAATGTCTTTGAGAAACTTAGCATATGAAGGAATTTCTGTGATAGCATCAAGCAAAGGAATTGTGATATCCAATTTCTTGATGACATTCAAAAATTTAGTTCTCCGTTCCTCCATATTAGCTTTCTTCAATCTGTTCGAATAAGGAACTCGGGGAATGTATTTCCTTACCGAACTGCCTCTTTCTTTCTTCGACCCTTCACGATCATCAGATGATTTCGGCATGGTACCGACATCAAGTTCATTGTTGTTGTTTCCACCTTTCTGTTGTTGCTCGGCCCTTTCCTCTAACACTTCATGTTCTTGTTCATCACTAGAAAGGGGCAAGGATTGATGTTGTTTCCCACTCCGAGTAGTGATGACATTGATTTGCTCCCTAGGGTTTTCAGGACAAGCAGTAAGCTTACATGTCACCTTAGTTGATGATGTGGATGCTTGATTAGCAATTTGATTCTCAAGCATCCTGTTGTGAGCCCGAAGTTGACCAACTTTTTCAGTGATTTGTTTTAGAGTTTAGGTTTGAGATAATTGGGACTTGAGAAGTTGGTCAACAATGTTTTCTAGGACAGAAGTTTGGGTGTTTTCAGGAGTGGGTAGAAGTGGCTTTTGTTGTTGAGAACGGGAATGGGAGCTGGAGTTGATGTAGAGTTTTGCACAAGAGAGACTTGTGCCATCTTTTGGATTAGATTCATCATGCTATCGACCTTTGTGGTTATGGCCGATATTTGATCAACTTCATATATGCCTCCGATTTTTGGTGGAGCAGATGATCGCTCAGATTACCATGTTGATCCATTTGATGAAATATGCTCCATCAATTCTTCTGCCTCCTCAAGTTCCAAGAACATGAATGATCCATTTGCTGACGCGTCCACGAGTATCCGAGAATTTTCGTGTAGATCTTTATAGAAAGCCGTCATCAAGTGCTAGTTTTGGATGTTATGATGTGGACACTGTCGCTGAAGATCTTTGAATCTTTCCCAAGCCTCGTAGAGGGGCTCATTGGGATTTTGTTTGAAATTTTGAATCATTCTCCGGATTTTTGCCGTTTTAGATGGCGGGAAAAATCTTTTGAGAAATTCACCATGAAGTTGATCCCAAGTGGAGAAGTGATTGTCCGGAAAAGAGTCAAGCCAACTCTGAGCTCGATCCCGTAGAGAGAATGGGAACAGGCGTAGTCTGACAGCATCAGTTGGCACATCATTGATTTTGAAGGTGTTGCATGCTCGAAGGAATTTTGTGATGTGATTATTTGGATCCTCCGTTGGCGCTCCGCCAAATTGAGTATTTGAAACCATATGGATGATAGAAGGTTTGATTTCAAAGTGATTCATGTTAACCTCCGGTGGAATAACACTGTCATACTCATCCACAGGAGGCGTAACATAATCAAACAGTGGTTTTCTGGTCCTCACAACCTGATCCACGATTTGTTGATCGGGTACCTGCTCATTAACAACAACATCTGTTGACATTTTTTTATTTTTTTCTGTTCACGTATGTGCTTTTCAATGTCAGTGAAGAATAACAATTCACAATTCGCACCACATGAACGTGTGAGCATAAGAAGAAGGGAATTGAGATTGGGGAGAGAGAGAGAGAGAGATGAAAAGAAACAAAATGTGGAATTAATTAATTAATGAAGGTTCGCACGTAGTCAATTGGTATAAACCGAATAAGACTTGTGAGCCCTTAAAGCAATATGAATTTTTTTTAACCCCCAGAAGGTAAACCACCAAAATTAGTGGGACAAATGTCGGGGGACATTTGTCAAGTTTTATTGAGAGTAAAAGAGAAATACAAAAAGAGGGGAACTATAGCAAAACCTCTTTCAAACATTAAACAAGCCATCTAACAAAAGGAATATTAAATAAATCAAAATTATATTCAATTCTAACAGGGCTGGGCAGAGAGGCAGCTGAAGTCCATAATTCGAAACAGGCCGGCTGTGAAATAGCAAGAAAATGGGCCGGCCTATTACCCTCTCTGTAAATATGTCGAAAGGAGACTCCTTTCCTAAAACAAGTATATCTGAAAGCAACGAGGTCTGCAAAATAGGAATTGCTTCCTCCGGACAGTAAAGCAGTATGAATATATACAGTAATTCACCAGAATGCGGCTGGGCCGACATATATGGTGATTTGAGAAGGGGAAAAAAATAGCTAGAGTAATAAATGCAGTCTCAACCAAGATGCAGCTGTGCCGACAGTCTGGGGATTATTAAGAAAAATAAAATAAAAAGTGCACTCCACCAACAAGTGGACACGGCCGACAAGCTTGGGGATGCAAAAGTAAAAAATTCTGAAATTAAAGTGCCGAAATTAAATTGCGTTAATATAATTGCAGAAATTAAATTGCGATAATTAAAGTGCAGAAATTAAAAAGTTGGGGTTTGAACCACCATAAAAAGAAAAATAAATGGTCCGACCATATAGGCGGAGTATCCTTTGAATTATAATGTACAAGTAAGCGGTCCGACCATATAAGCGCATTATCCTTTAAATTAAAATGTAACAATGTGTCCAATGGTCCGAATGTCGAGATATGTTCAGTCAACAAGTCCAACTCCAATGCTCAGGTAAGGTAATTAATCACATTCCATTTTTTTTTTTGTTTCTTTTTGGTTTTTTTTTTAACTTTAATTAAACACTTTTTTTTATTTTTTTTTTGAACCTGCAAAAGTAAACAAGATAAAACCAAAATAATATACACACAATTTACAATGACTAAAAACGAAAGTTTATGCTTTCATTTTTTTTCAAAAC